AATAATAATATGAGATTGTGTGTGACCAGGCGAGCTGCCATTATTTCCTGCTACGGATGAGTTGAAACTGCACAGCCAATGAGAGCAGCTCAATTTGCGGTACGTCACCTCTGCTGGTTGATTGTACATGTATTGCACTGTATACAGTATATTGTACTATATTCTGACAGTACCTGTTGTTAAGTAAAGACACATCAAGCATACACTGAGACCTTGCAGTTTCATTTGTAGAAACAGAACCAAGAAGAACAGAGCAGTTGTCACATCCCTGAGACCAAGCCTAAATATAGCCAACTATTAATAGAATATCCTAACAGACTGGGCCTCACATGTTCTCTGCCCTGACGATACTACACAACTCTGAAGTGGCTGTTCCGCACTGTTTGGCTGTGTACTACACTATCTGTAAACAGGTCAGTTTATTGAGAAGCCAAGAAGAGGTTGTTGTGTGCCCTGTACGCCCAAATGCTTTAATACTTATACTAATACTCAGATACTTTTAAACTGTTTTCCATCAACCAGAGCCAGTCAGAATCATTTTGAATGATAATAATTTGACTATTATATTGATAATCAGTGGGTATGTGTGCCCCCAGGGTGAGGGAATGAGGATAGAAACTTGAGTTGAGAAGAGCTTTTTCACAGGGTTAGGATTAGGTAATAATTGCTGGGACATTACTGTTAGTTCCTGCTGTGACTAAGGCCCAAGAGGCTGATTCCCTGATTTTGGAAACAATAAGGAAACATGAGTGCTGTGACGCTAACAAGACTAACAAGATTCAGAATTAGGGAGCATTGAGGAGCTGTGTAGGATGTACCAGTCAAACTGTCTGCTCGCTGTTCTAAATGAATGCGCTGGAATGAACTGAAAGAAAACTGACCTTCTGATACTTTCTGTAAGCAATCATTTGTCTGTCAAAGTCTTGATATTGATTTGGGGACAATGACATGTCTGATAGCTAGCTAGTCTTGTTGTTTAACATAGTGTCAAATTATATTTACCCTTTGTCGACCATACGCAGTGTTATTGACTTTGAATCTTGATAGCATCACGTTAGCTCTCTGTCTCGTAGCTGAAATGCTCTATGAACGAAGGGAACTTGAAACATCTCCTATTGCCAAGTTGTACCTATGGTTTGTCCTATTCACTGGAGTAGTGAATAACGTTTCCATTGCATTATAATTTTATGGTTGGTAATGGTAATGATTCTTCCAGGTATTAGTCAAACCCTCAGGTGATACCAGGGAAACAACTGGAAACAAATGCAAAACGTATGAAAATATTAATTAATGATCTTTTTTGTGACCATAGCATGAGCTTCATGGTCCGCTGCACATCGGCTGGTTTTGGCCTCCACATGGTCCTTTATATCCTGATAATGGACACCTTGTTGGTCATTATTCCTTACTTAAACACATCCTGAGGACTGAATGACTGATGTAGGCCTCTGTTCTTCTCTCTGCACTCCGTTTTTTTTATTTCTGTTGTATTGTGTGCTATTTTGTCTTGACTTTGTTCTTCTTATTAGCATGGGGGACTTCCAGCAGTTTGAGCAGGACTTCTACCAGACACGATATTTCATAGATGACCAGGGTCAGGCTGTGGCCTACTACGAGACCTATAATTCCTCAAGTCCTGCATATTACAATGAGTAAGTGTTCAGACTTTTGAGGATAGCTATAGATTGTGGCTTATCTTACTTGTCTTATCTTACTTCATCCTATCTTATCTCAGGTTAGGAAATCCTAAATACTCAATTCAATATAGCTTAGCCTATCTTTATATCTGTAACCTAGCAACTGAAGCTATTTTTCTCATCTTGTTGGTTTTCTCATTAAATACAATACAAAATATGAATTTTGCTGTAAATCAGGGCCCAAACTTAATAGGGGGCCACAGGCCAAAAGCAAATACCTATTGTACTGTATTGTCTTGTTGTTTGGCAGCCCTGTTGTAGATCATAAAGTAAATCCTTATATGAACGTGGTAAACTTAAGTCCATATGAGGGCGCCAGAAGTTGAGGCATTTTCACTGGGGCTGTCCCAAGGCATCCTGGGACCTGTAGGAGTGCACTTTATTATAAGTAGGGTGGCAGGTTTTGGAAGAAAATTTTTGTTTTTACACCAAATAAATCCTGGAATGACTCGAACATTACTGATTGCTTACACCTAAAACCAATGGAGTATTTATCATTACTGTACACAACACAAGGCTGTACAACAAAATAAATGTTCCTACCTGAAAAGCACTCCTTTATATACTCTTACACTTTACAGTGAGGGTTTATATGAATATTTTTTCTTGCTACTGTGTTGTTTTCAGCGGATCAGAGGCTTTCATGCCAGATACTATGGATCCTTCCATGGAGCAACAGTCCACTGGACACTTCTACCAACCTGTAATGCCTTCTGGGACTGTAGGAAGCACGGGCACAAATTCTTACGAAGAGGAACCTCCCCTTCTTGAGGGTAAAAAGATCATCTGTTTCCTCACAGCTAAATGCTTGACAATGTATGTTTTCATTGGGTCATCATAACTAACCATGTTGTATTAGTTTAAATCTAGCTAGCAGTTGTCCGTTCATATAAAGGGTCAGATGTGCTGACCCCAGGAAACAGCTGCGGAACCAGCCACCAGGAACTAATCACTAAAAGCAACATTCCTGTATACACACTTCAAATAAAAGCCACATGGCACTGGGGCTTCACTCCACACTAACAACCAGAAAGAGTTACTGGATGACCAGCTTTACAAGTACAAAGACTGGATTTTCACATTTTTGTTTTCTCTCTTTTCTGTTCATCATCTAGAACTTGGCATTAATTTTGACCACATCTGGCAGAAGGCACTGACAGTGTTGAACCCTTTTAAGCCTGCAGATGGCAGCATCATGAATGAGACTGATCTGACGGGTCCCGTCGTCTTCTGCATTGCACTGGGGGGGACTTTAATGATGGTGCGTATGTTACTGTCTATCTCAACCGAGTATATGACCCTTACTTGGAGCCCTATTCAGTGAGATTTAACAAGTCTCTGTTTCTTTATTCTCATACATTCAGGCAGGTAAAGCTCACTTTGGTTATGTGTATGGGACTAGTGCTACAGCCTGCATTGGGATGTACATTCTGCTGAGTCTGATGAGTTCCCTGGCAGTGTCTTTCGGCTGTGTGGCCAGTGTCCTGGGCTACTGCCTTCTGCCCATGGTGGCCCTCTCTGCACTCGCTGTGTTCTACTCTTTACAGTAAGTCCATTCAGTGGTTGTGCATTAAATGGTAAATGGTAATGTGTAGGCCTATGTGTGTGGATTGTTATTTTTTAAATAAAGTATTGTATCAGTTCTAACGGCTACCCGTTGTAGACAATGCTTGTGATTCCACCTGAAGCGCCGTGGCACGTCCCAGAACAATCAAATTCACTCTAGCTGAGAACTTTAAATAAAAAAAAAAATAATAATAATAAATAAAATAATAGTTGCTCTTTTTGTTTTCACAGAGGCATCCTGGGTACAGTTCTGGCCTTGGTAGGGATTTGTTGGTGTAGTTTCTCTGCCTCCAAGATCTTCATCTCCACCCTGGCTATGGAGGGCCAGCAGCTGCTGGTGGCGTACCCCTGCGCCCTGTCCTATGGACTCTTTGCACTGCTCACTGTATTTTAGCTATCACCAGATTGAACCTAGAAGGAAATCTTTATAATTCAACATTTTTTTCACTTCCTTTTCAAAGTTAAAGGGGAGTTCTGTTTTCACCCCTATTCTATTTTAAGGTCCACGGTAACATTAAGGAGGATCTATTGGCAGAAATGGAATATAATATATATAATATTCATAGGTATGTTTTCATTAGTATGTATTCACTACATAGGGAGTGGATCCTCTTTAGTCCACCATTTGAACCACCACGCTTCTACAGAATGGAAATGCCCAGAATGGACCTGCCCAAACACCTTGCGAAGCTCTGCGGCGAAGGCATGGAATACACTCATTAGGAAACTTTACTGAGCTCATAAATCAATTCAGAAGTCGGCTCATTCTCAATAAAACTGGATGGAATTGGTTTTTATTACAGCCAATAGAGCTTCCCTTGTTGGGCTTTTCATAAAATGCAGGTTTAAGACACTTCACATATAGAGATTGAGACCATAAACTCAAAAGACTCAAAACTATCAGACTTTCTTTTTGCAACCCATGGAGCTGCCC